GAATCGAATCCATGGTAAGGGAGTTTGGTTTGGTTTGGGGGTTCCGTCAGTAGACCTTAAATGTGGCGACTTTATCACCCAATTGCGTGGAATTGGCACCTGACAGTGTTAATATACTTCCTTACCTGTCCTACGTTCCCAAGGATTTAGACAAAAGAACTAAGCACCCTTATTAAGTAACCATAATCTTAATAATTTAAATGCACAGATTTCCATACTTATTCCTACGTCTGTACTAAGCTTCTTTCGTGATTACCAATCACCTGCAAACCACTGCAACCTGAATTAAATAAGAGTTGTAAGAGACTGATTTTGCCAGTGTATATTTTCCTTGTGCAGAAAGCACTGTTAGGTGTAAAAAAAGGGGGGGGGGGACGGGGTGATTTGGAAGCCTTTTCCCCAAAGGCCCACAAGATCGTAAAAACAAAAGTGCCCGCGCAGAAACTGGGGCTGCGCTCAAAGGCTACACAAAGAACGATCTCTGAGAGGGCCCTGACGAGGATCGTCCCCCTCTTGCCAGGCCCACTGGTCCCCATAAAATAGCGGAGACGCGGGAAGGAACAGAGTGAGACTCAGACCTGCACAGCCCGGGGGTCCTTACACAGCTCGCTCCATGCACCTTCCGCTCCGCCTGAGCCCAAAGCGCGCGCCGGGCTGAAATTGTGAACGGACCAAGCGGAGCGCTTTTTCCGAGACACCGCAGGGAGGAGCCGATGGGTTGTTAGGACCGTTGCTACAGCCGGGGCCGCGGAGGCCCCGCGGCAAAGGTAATGGGAGGGGACATTAATGGGGTGGAGTTAGACTAGAAGTCCCTCTTCAGCTTCGCGCAGTTTGAGATACAGGACTAGTTGCTGAGAGCCAGCCTCGGTAAGGGGGTGGTGCTTTGCCTCACACCCTACCCCTAGCCATGTGTCTGGGGCGCAGATTTCAAAATACATTCTCAGGCGTGGTTGTAGTGAGTTATGTAGGGGAAAAAAAAATACTGATCTCATAGAACTCTTCCATTTTAAAGGGCCCGAAAATATTTTAGTCATTAGAACTTAATTCTGTTATAGTTTTGTGGCTGTATCAAGATTTAAGTATTTCATATGCTGTATAGTAATGAACAAAATGGCTCAAACACAGCAACGATTGTGAGGATGGCCCAGGACCACGGAATGTTTTTATTCGGTTGTCCCTCCAACACCTAATAACAGCAACATAATAATGAAAGCTACTAGAAAAACAGAGAGCTCTGGTAGCCTAGTGTCTAAGGCACTTGATTGCTAACCTGAAGGCTGTCTGTTCAAACCCACCAGCCACTGCTGGGAAGGACGGTTGGGCAATCTACTTCATTAGAGATTCCGCCTCGGAAACCCAATGAGGGGTCTCTGTGAGTCAGATCCGACTCCATGGCAGTGAGTTTGGTTTGGTTATGTAAACTAAAGGTTATTAGTGGTTATCTGGGATAGGAGGGAAGGGGAAGCTTTGGTTTGTGGGGCATTGAATTTATGCTAGTGGTGGTGGAATATTTTGGAAAAGGATAGCAATAATGGTGGCACAATATGAAAAATGTCCTCAATGTCCCTGAGCTGTAAATGTGCAAGTTACTATGTTGGTGAATGTCTTAGTGTGTATGTTTTCATCACAATAAAAGTTAAAAAAAAAAAAAAAAAACTTCTGCAGTTGTGAGGTATATTTGTTCTAGAAATGTCAAGTTGTTTGACAATGTTGTTCAAATCTTCTGTCTTCTTACCAACTTTGTGTGTGTGTGTGTATACTTGATTCATCAATTTCTCAGAGAGTATTAAAATATCTAACTAAAATTGTGACTTTGCCTATCTCTCTCTTTAGTACAATTTCCGCTACATTTATATGGAAGCTCTATTAGGAGATGCAAACATATTTAGCAATGCTAAAGCTTCTTAATGACCTATATCCCTTTATCATTATATAATATGATATAATACATTGGGCATATCTGTGACAAAAGACCTCTTTTAAATCTTAGAAAGCAAAGATGTCACAAAGATGTCTTAAGTTTCACCTGACCCAGGCAAAACTATTTTTAGTCACCTAATATGTGTGTGAAAGCTGAATAATCAAAAAAGAAGGGAGCTCTGGTGTTGTAGTACCTAAGGCATTTGATTGCTAACCAAAGGCTAGCAGTTCAAACCCACCAGCCACTCCTCCCAAGGAAGGTTGGGCAATCTAATTCCATAATGATGTTGTTGTTGTTGTTGTTATGTGCCGTCGAGTCGGCCCCGACTCATAGCGACCCCTCCTTGGGTTTCCAAGGCAGTATCACTACGGAAGTAGGATTGCCCAACCTTCCTTCCGAGGAGTGGCTGGTGGGTTTGAACCGCCAGCCGTCTGGTTAGCAGGCAAGTGTCTTAGCCACTATGCTACCAGAGCTCCTAATTCCATAATGATACCGCCTCAGAAATCCAAGGACCTGTCGCTATGAGTCGGATCTGACTACATGGCAGTGTACTGCAATGCTTTGCTGGAAGAAGGAACAAAGAAAGCAGTATTAGGGAAAGTACCAGCCGCTGCTGGGAAGGAAGATGGGGCAACCTACTTCCGTAGTGATACTGCCTCGGAAGCCCATGGAGGGGTCGCTATGACTCAATGGCACATAACAACAACACAGCCAGATTACTCCTAAGAAGCGAGGATGATGAGATTTCATCTTGCTTACTTTGGACACATCATCAGGAGGGACCAATCTCTGGAGAAGGACATCATGCTTTGTAAAATAGTTGTTATTGTTATGTGCTGTTGAGTCAGCCCCGACTCATAGCGACCCCTCCTTGGGTTTCCGAGAAGTAGGATTGCCCAACCTTCCTTCTGAGGAGTGGCTGGTGGGTTTGAACCGCCAGCCGTCTGGTTAGCAGGCAAGTGTCTTAGCCACTATGCTACCAGAGCTCCCCTGTAAAGTAGAGGGTCAGTGAAAAAGAGGAAGACCCTCAGTGAGACAGACTGACACATGGCTGCAACATGGGCTCAAACATAGTGACAATTGTGAGAATGATGCTGGACCACACAGCATTTCCTTCTATTATATGTAAAGTTGCTATGAGTCAGAGTCCACTAGATAGCATTTACCAACAATATTCAAGTCTACTTTCTCTGCTATTAATATAGACACAGTAGCTTTCATATGGTTAGTGTATGCATGGTTCTAGCGTTTCCATTTATTTGTTTTTAGAGTTTCCATTTTTCTCCTGAAATGCCCCCATCCCTTCATCAGTTATAATTCAACCCATTTTGTAAATACTTTGGTTTTTCTGACCAAAAATGAATAAAATTATTCCAGTTACTTTTCATAACAAAACAGCCAGTTCAATATTATTATTTCCATTTTATAGACAGGGACGGGAGCTCTGGTAGCCTAGTGCTTAAGGCACTTGACTACTAACCAGAAGGCTGGCGGTTCAAACCCACCAGCCACTCCTCGGAAGGAAGGTTGGGCAATCCTACTTCCGTAGTGATACTGCCTCGGAAACCCAAGGAGGGAGGGGTCGCTATGAGTCGGGGCCGACTCGACGGCAAATAACAACAACAACAACAGACAGAGACAGTGACATACAGGTGAAGTAACTTGTTTTAACATCCCACAGCTTGCAGTGATGGAGACAAAATTTCAACTCAGGCTTGTCTTACTCAAAGCCTTTGCTATTAGGTAAATCTGCTACCTTTCTCAGAGGTTTAAATATTTTTAAATATATTGAATATGTTACTTTCTTATACTAGAAATATTCTTATTCTAGTATAATATTCTTAGTCTTATTCTAGTATAAGAAAGTAACTTTCAGATCAATGTTTTGGGCAGATCCCTGGTGGCAATGTAGAGCATGCATTTGAAAGCAGGCATGGCCACATTTTTGGATCTCTGAAATCAATATTTTGTAAATTCTTTAACATATTTATTTTTAAATTCCTTGTCTGCTAATTACAGTAGCTAATTTTCAGTGAGTTGGTTTCTACTGACTGTTTTTCCCTTGCTTATAGTTGTATTTTCATTATTTTTGTATGCCTTTTAATTTTTATTTGATATTCCCAAAAAATATATATTAGATATTATATGTAAAAACCATAGAGGCTGAAGTAAAATTTAGTTTAGTTTTGTTTGGTTTTCAGAGAGCACAAGTGTTTTCCTCTATTTTTCAGTTAGAGTAAGAGGTTGTTCTTAGAGTTGAGTTGTTTTAGGGTTCGCTTTTTGGTGATATAAAGAGCTCTGGTGGTGTAGTGGTTAAGGCATTAGGCTGCTAACCAAAAGGTTTGTAGTTCAGTCCCACCAGTGGCTCCACAGAAGAAAGATGGGACAGTCTACTTCCATAAAGATTCATAGCCTTGGAAACCTAATGGGGATCAATATAAGTTGGAAACAACTCAATGGCAGTGAGTTTTTTTTTGTTGTTGTTTTGTTTTTTTTAATCTGGTGGTGTAGTGGTTAAGACTTTTGGCTACTGACCAGAAGATTGGTGATTCAAATCCACCAGCCTCTCCACAGAAGAAAATGAAGCAGTCTGTTTCCAGAAAGAAGCTTCCAAAGCCTTGGAAACCAATGAGGGTCGCTATGAGTTGGAATCAACTCGATGGCAGTGAGTTTGGATTTTTGAGTTTGGTATGCTTTAATTACATTGAGTTTACTTGTGATTAACCTAACCTCCAACTGCCCCTTTTGTATTGTGCCAGTATTTGAGCTGGAGAGATTTATATTTCAATTTTAGATATTTTTTATTCAACATATCTTTGAACCTTTGGAATCAACTCTTATCAGTGACCTGAAATCCAAGCACTAAGATAATGTGTTGGCTTATGAGATTTCTCTATGCTTATCAGCCTCTCGTCCACTGGTGCTTTCTTGTCAAAAATTAGGAGTAACTTTTGGTGGGTAGTATGTAGATATTTAATTTGCTTTTGCTTTTCAATGTCTTTCAGACTTGTGATTCCTAGTTCATGTTGATGCCTAAGGCCTATTTGATTTCTCTTCATCTCTACAAAGTTGCAGTGCCATGGCAGGCCATGGCTTTCTTTCACAGATACGCAGAGCAGGCACTGGCTTCCAGGTAAGGAAACTGGAACAGTATAATCCACACCTATAAATGGCACATTTCTTTCTGGATTTCAGCTCAGCAAGGCTTCCTGGTAAGGCCAGCTTAATAAGTATGTATCCTCTGTGTGGTAGTTTAAGTTTGTGTGTCAACTTGGCTGGGCCTGGTTGAGTGGCTGGGCAGCTGGATGTAGTATTCCACATGATGAGACTGGTAATCAACTCCATAGTGGAATCTACTGTGAGCAGCTGAGTAGCTACCTTTGGGATGTGGTCTGTATCCTGTATATAATGAGAAGTCTTGGGGAATGGTCTCTAGCTTGTGGCTCATGTGAACCCTGCATGTGACCGTGTTCTTGTTCAGCAGCCTTCCATACTCTGCCAACCTTGGGACTTTCAACAGGCTTGAATTAATGGCCTGCCATGTGGTTTGGTAACATCAGGGCTGTACCTTTTTACTTGTCAACCTTGGGCTTGTCAGCCTCAGTAGCCAGCAGCTGAGTGAAGAAAAACTTCCAGCTTCAGAGGGCCGGAAGCAAGAGACAGAGCTGAAATCCAAGGTTGAGGAACTTTCACCCAGCCCCTAGAGCCTGGCACTTTAAACTCGGACTTAAAGCCTCCAAACTGTAAGAGAATAAACTTGTTTCTTCAAGCCATCCCATTTGTGATAGATTCCTGTCAGAGCAGCACTAGGTAACCAAAACACTGTGCAATTATATAGGGTCCCATGCTTAGAAGGACCCTGCACTTGGTTTTAATGCTCTGCTCTCACCATCTTGAATGTCTTTGTAATTTTTGAACAAGGCATAGTGCATTTTCATTTTGCACAGGACCCCACAATTTATGCACATAGCCATACTCCTTGGCATCAACCACTTTTCACTAACCTCATAGAAAACTGTAATTTCATTTTGTCCAGCTTTTTCTTAATATTAACCATGGAAGCATTACTCTTTCGCATCCTTCTACATTCTGCTAAAAGTAGAAGTCTGTTTAATTTATACCTCACTTTCCTTTTGACTTTACCCCTAGAGAACTTTAGAATTTTATATTGAAATTAGCTGGAACTTTCCTAAGCAAGTGTAACTTTCTTAATTTGCTTTCGTGTTTCCCAAAATTGAAATATGGGTTTCATTTTTAGTACTTTGTGCAAGAAGTGGTTTGACAGCCATTACCAATAATAATAATAGTAATCAACATTTAAAATGTTTTTATTACACTCCTTTATATTCTGCACATTTCAAAATATACTGCCAATTTCCTTCTACCCAAACTGCCATATTCACTACCCCTGAAGATATTTTATCATTGCACAGTAAAGAAGAGTGTGAATCAAGCCCCCAAAATGTGGAGATTGATCTGGCCCTTACATTCCTACTTCTCCAACCTCATCACCATCTACCTTACCTCCACAGCACTCTTATTTTCTGACCCTTGCCACCCAGAACTATGTCAGAACTCACAAGTTAAAAGGACACTTTAAAGGATACTTCAGACTGCCAAATAGACAGATACTAGCTATTGGTTTGGAAAGTCAACACGATACCCCAGCCTTCTGACCCATTGGCTACAAATTCTAGGCTGGTTTACCAATACCCCTTCAAGATGCCAACCACAAGCTTGGGAGTCCACACAGCACTTTAACTTTTTGCTCATCTGGCTCCCACTGCCCCTTTGGGATTAATAATTTAGTGGAAGGCCTCACAGAACTCACAGAGAGTATACTGTACTTATGAATACAGATTTACTATAACCCAAAAGAATACAAACAAAGAGACCCATAGGATGATCTCTGGGAGGGTTCCATGTCCCAAGGGATGGGCTATCCTCCCCAAACAGATAGTCTCATCAACCAGGAATCTCCCTGAACCCTAGTGTTCCAGATGATAGACTAAATAATGCCTTGCTAGACTAGTTGCACATAACAACAACAACAACAACAGACTAGTTGATATCAGACTCCTGGGTGAGTCTTTTCTGATGTAGGCAGCCTCACTTGCCAGCACAAATTCTCAGGTGTGGCCTGGAATTCCACACCAGGGCACCCCAGTTACTCTAAGTCATTTCACCAGAGCCAAGGATAAAAGCCACTTTGTTTAGGGTAAATCTGGGTCCTTTATCCCACAGTCATGAAGATTTTCATGTTTCTAAGTCTTTTGTATACATCATCTCTCATATCTCTCATTCCTCTGAATCTGACTAGGCCTAGAAATTTTCCAAAAAATTTTCTTGACACCTATATGCATCTTAGTTTCTGAGCACTTATTTTTTTTATAATAGTTGTCATATGTATTCTTTATTTTATTATTATTGTATTATTAGTTATACATTTAGTTATTTAAAAAAAAAAAACTAAACCACTGCCATCGAGTCGATTTTGACTCATAACAATCCCCATTGGTTTCCATGGCTGTAAATCTTTATGGAAGAAGATTGCTTCATCTTCCACAGAGCAGCTCGTGGGTCTGCACAGCTGACCCTGGGGTTGCAGCCAAATGCCTTACCTTCTATGCCACCAGAGCTCCTTACATTTAGTTATAGTCATTATATGTTTAAAACAATATTAAGAGAATAAAATATTCTCTTTAATCTCGTGTGTAATTATAAAATGTGGCCTTGTGATTTTGTAATCTTGACCATTTTAGCTATTGATTTGAGATATATGTTTCAATACATAAAAATGTAATCAATCTTTTCAGTTATGTTATCACCAGATCATTTGAGTATTAAATGTCTTAATTCTGAATTTTTTGCTTCTTTCTCTGAAAGTGCTTTTGTCATTTTCCCCAAATGCTCACACATTTATTCATCTACTCACTTATTTGTTAATTCATTCACACTGCAAGCACTTATTATACACTATGGGCCAACTACTGTGTAAAATTGTAATGGTTCAGCAGTGACTGCACCATTGTTTCTGTCCTCATAGAGATATGAATCTGCTGCATATTAGCATGGAAAAGCTTTTTTAAGGGCCAAGGAAGGCTTCCTAGAAAAAGTGACTGTTAATTTAGGATTTGTAGTAAGAGTTAAATAGACCAAGAAAGGATTGGAGAGAGGCTTTGCAACAGGGAGTGTGCAAATTTTCTAAGTTAAGGAAGAGCAAAGTGTGGTCTTGATTAGAATTAGTTTGTGTAATAGACTGTATGTTCAACTCACAAAGAAACTACTAATAAAAATAGGGTTATGACTTACAAGACTGAGACATCCAAATATTTAAATTATTTTCTCCATTTCACTAGTATGGCTTTTTAAAACATTCATCAGTAGAAAGGCAGTATTATTATATTGTTGCCTCTGGATTTATTATAAAAATCTTCAAAGATGGCATAATATATCTTGGAACTCTTCTAGGAATTTGAAATTAGGACATTCAGCAGGATTTCTGTAAAGTGTTTCTCTAGCGGTAGTATATAAAGGAGACATTTTTACAGAATTTAGTTTGATGGCTCAGAATTTAAACATCTATATCTGACCCTTTAAAATGAAATTACTTTAAAAAGTGAATATTTTATAATATCTTAGTTCTGAACATTATAACTTAAATCCTCTATCATATTGTTTAAGTAAATTATGTATAAGCATTATTTTTAAAAAATCTGAATTTATGTCAATAAGAAATATTGATTTTCCTTCCTTAGACAATTCAAGAACCTCCAAGGACACTTGAAGAATTCTTAAAGTGTCAAAACTGGGTGAGTAGAGCAAACTATTTTAAGTGCTAATACATATTTTTAAAATATCATTCATGGAGATATGAAAGCCATGGGAAAAAGACTTTAAAAATAGAAATTTGAGAAATACACTTCAGTGTAGGTATTGTTATAAATATTTATTTCCTTTAGGCAGAATCTTTGCTGTCAGCATTCCTTCTTGTCAACATTCTATTCTGTGTTTTATAATTTAAAGATTCTAACCCTATATCCTATCAGAAGGAACTCTGGTGGCACTGTGGTTAAAGCATTGGGCTGCTGACCAAAATGTCAGTGGTTCAAACCCACGAGCCACTCTGCAGAAGAAAGATGAGGTAGTCTGCTTCTCTAAAGATTCACAGCCTTGGAAACCCTATGGTCCTAAAGGGTCACTATGAGTTGGAACCAACCTGATGGAAGTGGATTATGGGTTATAGCCTGTCAGAGTTTAGCCATTTTTATATAATTTTGTTAGTAATATACAATTTCTGTCTTATATGTTTGTACCTTAAAGAATATCTTACAGTTAGTGTTACTTACCTCATTGATACATGCACCACAACTCAGACTCACAGATAATTTACAGAAATGTTCTATCAATATTCCTCAGTTGTTGAATCATAGTGAAATGTTCAAAATGTGTTTTCATGTTGAAGTCTCCAGTTTCCATTATTATATGTAATTATTGACATATTCTGGAGTTGCTACTAACCTACAGGTTACCTGTTTTGGACCAACAGAGCAGCACCGTGGAAGAAAGGCCTGGTGATCTGCTCCTGTAAAGATTATAGCAGTTCTACTCTGTAACACATGGGACACCAGGAGTCGGAATCAACTCCATGGGAACTTGTTTTATATTTATGTTTAAATATAGACAGAATTTACTGTGATTACACCACTGGCAATCAGAAATATCTATTTAAAACATCCTTTTTTGTTGTTATATTTGTTTAAGTAGGATCTCTGGTAGTATAGCGCCGAAGGCACTTGATTGCTAACCAGAAGGCTGGCTGTTCAAACCCACCTGCCACTCCTCAGAAGGAAGGTTAGGCAATCTACTTCTATAGTGATACTGCCTCGGCAACCCGAGGAGGGGTCACTATGAGTCGGGGCCAACTTGAAGGCACATAACAACAACATTTGTTTAAGTACTTTATTTAAAAAAAAATATTTAGGGAAAGGTTTGTGTTCCTTTTAGGAATAAATAGAAAATGAAAACATTCCTAGTTTACAAAAGTTTATTTCAATCACTATAACTCAACTGCCATCGAGTCGGATCTAATTCATAGCAACCCCTCCTTGGGTTTCCGAGGAGATATCACTACGGAAATAGATTGCCCAGCCTTCCTTCCAAGGAGTGGCTGGGGGGGTTTGAACTGCCAGCCTTCTGGGTAGTGGTCAAATGCCTTAGGCACTATGCCACCAAAGCTCCTGGAAGACAAATATTTTGAAGTACTTTTAGGACAAGCTTTTTGCAACTATTTTGATTGAAATAACAAGATGTGCTGCAGCCTAATGGCAATATTTGAAGTACTTTTTAATGCCAAAAGGAAAAGATTACAGTTAAAATTAAGCCAAACCCAGCAAATAATTATGGAGACATGTCGACTATACTATCAGACATGTTTTCTGGTTGTTATTGCTGGTTGCTATCAAGTATATTCTGGCTGACGGCAACAATGTGTATGTACCGAGTAGAAGTGTTCCGTGTGGTTTTCAAGGCTGTGGTCCTTCAGAAGCAGATTGCCAGGGCTGTTACTCGTCTCGGCTCTGGGTGGAGTCAAACAGCCAACTTTTCAGCTAGTAGTTGAGCACTTGATCATTTGCACCACCTATGACCTATAAGTTCAGATGAAAAGTTCTGATTATGTGAAGTGGAAAATGCATAACTCCTCTGTTTAATCTGAGAATTATCTAATCAAATCAAGTTCATAGGTTTATTCCAGCCCTTCACCAAATCAAAACATATATCTTGTTAGTGGTATGTCAGTAGCACCATCCTTGTATGCAAAAGATACCATCTATATATAGCCCTCAATTTTTATCAACTAACATTAGATAAAACTACATATCCAGTTGTACCACATTTATTATTGATATACTGATGCCATTTTTGTCATGTATGATTTTATCTGTACACCTTTTCTGAATTTCCCAAGCAAATTCTCATATTCCATAGCTCTTTTTTTTTCCTTTTTAAGGTTTAGCTATGTTTATGTGTTGCCAAACTATTGAATATTTGAAAATATCCAGTAATAAAATGACTTATTAGGCTTATGATCCAGACTTGTGTGATACTCATATCCCTACTGTGCTTGTCTCAAAGGATTAAATATACTTTATGATAGAGAAAATATTATTTCAATCCTATTCTGTTTATTCAGGGAATACTCTGCATTTATTTTATTTATTTATTCATTTACTCTTTAATTATTCATTCATTCATTTAAATCTCTTCTTACATAAAAGCTTAAGAAAAGATAAGAGCTGATAGTCCCTTCTTCCTCTAAGCTTAGTCATGATTCTTAATTCTTACACTTTTTGTAGATAGTTTAGTACTATCTTTTGGGACTTGGAACATGGGTGAAGATCTAACCTCAGTAAACAAAATCCCTCTTCAAACCTCAAGGGAGCCACTTTGTCTATCTACTCTCCTTCTTCTGTCTCTAGTTTTGTACTAGTATTTAATATTGTGCACTTCTGCCACTGCCGAAGTTTAATTGCTGCAATTAAACTAAACATATATACATAGTCAATTCTTATGTCACTGCAGTGTAGTAAATTACTTTGTGTGGCTTTTCTACACATAAGTCTTTGTAAACTCCAAGGTGGGATTTGCTATGAGTAACTGAGGAGCTCCTGATTGCTGAAGGTGTCTACCTGGAGTATTTCTGTTGGGAGTGGCACAAAACAATGTTCTGGGAGGTGCCCACTCTCTCTCAGGTGCTTAGAGTTCTG